ACACACACACACACGCACATATATATATATATATATATATATATATATAGAACTCGACAACCAACAAAGATCTTAGATCAAAAGTATGAACAGAGATAGGTACAAATCACATATTGACTAATTGGGAAACTTAATCAAATGAAAATCTCTCAATTTCGTGCTTATTTCCGTTTCTAACATTGGGAGGTTTCAATCTCCTTTAAATAAATACTAATTGAAGTTATAGACATGAATAAAAAGACGGAATAGTTGAGTTTGAGTCAAATTTCGAAGATCTAACAGAAAATACGCACATCTTGAGCATAAGCGTGAGGAAAGACACACACATAATAGTTGCAGGATTTACATAATTTGATGAACACTTTCCCCCTCTCTCTCTCCCTCTCTTGGTTTTCGGAATGTCGCCCTAAATAAGACATCAAATGTGTCCCCCCATATTCTCTTGATTGTTTGGATAGACTCTACAGATGCTATTTTGAAGCTAAGGTAAAAGGACCAACAAAAAATCACATTCTCACTTTCTCATCTACCAAATAGATGCATCTAAATTCTCAGCAATCATGGCGTGGTTGGCAGTAAGCGACTCTGAGTGGGAGGGGGAGGGGAGGGGGGGGGGTGAAGAGGAGAGAGAGAGAGAGAGGGAGGGAGGATTGTGGGATTAGTAATCGCGGGATTTACAATTAGTGGTTTATCACTGTGGACAGTATAGTTAGCGACAGAAAAAGCCAATCGAATGGGTAGAGAAAATGCTATTGTGTCAACAAAACCCCCCAAATAACCGTCAAACATCAAGATTCAATATTTTAAATAGGTAATATAAGCCAAAGAAGTGTATAATAAAATTCGTTCGCTTTCATGCAAGCAAATTAATGAGCCTTTCATTGACAAAAAGTGGTGAGGGAGCGCCACAGAGGCATAAAATGGAATCGCCACCAATGGACTGTGGCCAAACCAAGCAATAATTCATATTCAGTGGCAGAAATGCAATAAAAAGGGGGTGGGGAGTGGATGAAAAAGAACAGAAAAGGAACTAGAGCAAAGCCAATGCCATTCATTAGTGTTGGCATGCTATCTTCTGATTTTGGGAAGTGGACACGATCTGTCCCACCCCCCCCCCCTACGCCTCCGACTTACTCAGAGCAAGTTCATAATGGCCCATAAAATGTAGCAGTGTGACGGAAAACACCGATGTGTGAATAAATGAACTCAACCAATCAAAACTGCCTATAAGTGCAAAATGAAATCAAAGGTTCATCATGGTGGAATACAAGTTTATTAAGTGGGTGATAGGCATTTGTATTGATAAGTTAAATCATCTGACTTCAAGTGAAAATGGTAAACGCTCACAAGGTACATCTCATGAAATCAACTATGACGCAAGCGTATTGTCAATTCAGCCGGAACGATTGAAAAATATTCGCTACACCACAAGGTTTAAAAATTATTAAACAATTTTACCTATTTCTAGTGATGCTCAGTTTTATACATTTCCTAACGTTGTGTTAGATGATGACCGTTTAAGCTTGCGTAATTGACCCCAAAACTAATTCTAAAAGTCAAATGAAATACGACTATATCGCTATTGTCCACATCTCTTCTTGTACCTCGTAGTGGGCTTTACCTTCATCCGAAAAACATGGCTTCGCATGATTGAAAAACGTAAATTTTTCGATTCACTGAGGAAGAAGTGAGTATTTTGACGATAGGTGAAAGATTGACCCCTATTCCACTCAAGTTAAAATCACCTCTCCCCCGCCCTTCCCTCCCACCTTGTTTTAAGAATTTTTATATTTTCTTATAAAATGTTGAGCAATAATACACACTTACAAGAGAGGTTAAAAGGTTATAATCCACTCGCTGGGATTAAATAGACACTTACCTGGAAAGAGCAGACGAGTGATTCATCGACTGACATCAGGGCTCCAGCATTATCGAATTCACCGCAGTAATTGGGTGCTGAAAAGAGGGTGACGAGTTGGCGTTTGGCAAAGAATTCGTAGCCGTCTTCGACAACCTGCAAATGAGGAAATGCCTGTAATAAATTCAAGCTACTACACAAATAACAGGAAAAGTAAACCATTCACTTTTGGAGACAAAGGAGGGGAGGGGGGGGGCGGGAAATAATAGAGTATGGGGATGTACAAAACTGGTTTTATGGAAAACCTAGCCACCGCAATTTATATCGTAATGGAAAAGAGCTTCTTTGAAAAATAAACAATAATACAATTCTTAATATTTCGGTAATTTTCAAACGCAGATCAAAATTTTTCAATGTGTTTCCAAACAATGTAAAGCTGATATTTTAACTGGGAAAGCAATTTCTAACTCTAAAGTAGGCGTGGACAATGAGAAAGCAATTAACTTTTACAAACAAACTGTTTGCCATGCTCGGTTGGGAGTGTGGGTTGATAGCTAAAGCGACAATGTTAAAACTGTCTTATTTTGCTACATACAGATTGAAAACACACAAGCTATATTTCACCCCAAAGAATTCCTCCTCTTTCGGTTTTATTTTGAATTTTTACCAAAATATGAGCCAGCCTACTTCACTTATTACAACTAAAATGTCGCGGTCCTAGACCAGAAAACTTGATTAGAACTCAGGGTGGAGGAAAATGTAATTAAATTAATGCGAACAGCCAATACTAAAACGTCCATGTCTACATTAGAAAATAAGATGGATGATCGGAAACTTAAGGACCAGTCAACAAAATAAAGAAGAGGAACCGATATTCGATGCTAACCAATTAAGCAGAAAAGCCCTTGTCATTGCTTTAATTACAGTAAATGAGCCAACCAGAGGTAAAAAAATTGTCCAGATATTTACCAAAGCCTTTAACTGACCTATAATGCTATCAGTTTAAATGGGTAAAGTAAACTATTAACAAAGGAAATGAGAAAATTAAATCGATTTTCTATACATAATAATAGACCATGCTACGCTATAAGTGCGTCTTTGGCTTATTGACTTACAATGTGGCAAAGCACTTTTTATCAATTTCCAACATATATTTGCATAATTGAAAGCACTCTTGGGAAATCTATACGAGGTCGAGTTTGCATCGATTTCCAATAACCAATTTCTTTAATTCAAAGCACGAGTCATTCTTAACCTATTTTTTCCCATCTGACCATTATTATTCATTGAAATTGCCGTAGCATTATAGTATTCATTTAAAGTGTATTCACTTGCTCATTACCTTCTTTCGCGGTTACTTTTATATTATGCTCCCAATCACAAATTACACTGCTACAGTCGGAGTAATTTGGGGTGTAAAAGGAAAGCTGCCATGGCTACCCTACTGTGGATCAAATGGGCGGTTAAAGGGTGGGATACAAAACAATCTTCAAACAAACTCTACTTCTTTTCAGAGGCCCCGTGTATAGACCAAACAGGCAGTAAGTAATAAAAAGGCGGGTCGGGGTCATTTCATGTTGACAGGGCGAGTAGAAGCCGTCCCAACGGTGCAATAAGAAATAGATAAATCAGAGAGGGAGAGAGATTAATGCACTTTAAAGTGCACTGCCATGTTTACATGAATTTGCATGTCTTTTTATGAACTTAAGATCAACTAGTGTGTGTTGTTGACTAGCCCTTCAGCTCAAAAGCCTGCGTGCGTGTGCATGTTTTTTTTCACAACCATTTATAAAAAAATGCGCAGTTTTTATGGGGTACGTAGAGAGAGAGAGAGAGAGAGATGGGAATAAGGCTATTATGCGAGAGTCTAAAAGCCGAACGACTTTATTTCATTACCTGCCTTAGCAAGACCATTTGTGTGTCAAATGAGCAAATTTTTATATTAGAACTCAGAAGCTATGACCTCTTTTCCAATCTCAACAGACTATTTGCTTTCCCTAGTCTCATTTTATATGACCTTTCTATTTGGCTTTCGACAATATGCCCAGTCATGGCTATGCACAAATTTCCATTTTAACTAGTTGTAGCAAAACAGCATCATTAGGGAGGAAACGTAGAAGAATGGGGCAGAAATAGTAAATGGAAACAAAAATTCATTCATCTCATTTCATATGAATTCCAGAAACGTTGAATCAGCCCAGATCATAGACAGAATATAATTCGTTTTGTAAAAATCACTATCACTTTCCATCATACGGCCCCCAAGTAGAGAAGAACATTCCCAAATATAACAGAGCACCCAGAAGTGCACTCCAGTTGAACTCCACCACTATTGGCTACAAATAATCAACCAATCAGGTTTTTACCCCACCCGAAGATTACTATTACTTGGAGAAGTAGTTAGACCAACTGTTAAATGCTACTCGGGTAGTAGATCATTCCATTGCTGCCTTAATAAGAAGACGAATACCAATCTATATGAAGGGTTTAAAGTATGGCCCAAAGGTAATGAAATGACAACAAGTCCTGAATAGACCAGCAATTTGGGTCAAATTAAAAGGAATAGTGGAAAAAAGTGAACCATGATTAGGAGTTTGCAGACAAACTATCGTTATGTTCCTGTCGAGGGCAAAAGCAAAAAAATGGGGGGGGGCAGATTTAATGACAGTTGGCAAATGACGGACCGAAAAACAAATGTGGCATTGCGACGTTTTTTTAGCAAAAAACACTCGATTACAGAAGTGAAAATAAGAACAGGAATAGGTAATGGCTCAGGTAATAGAAAATCTAAAAGTCGCTGGCTCTCATCAATATAAATTCTCGTAAAAACGAATGAGAACCGTTGGAACACGCATCGGAATACTTAACAACGCAACTACTCAAATGAACGAAGTCGAGTAAAGACGAGGGAATTTGCTTAAACTGAGTCAGGAGAACATCAGCAGTTTTATAGGGTGAAGGAGAAGACCTCCAATGACAGATGTCTGAGGTAACGATTAATGAATTCAACTCTAAAACTGCCTTATTGATTATGTGAATTATTTTGCTATGTAGATAGAGTGTTGACCTAATGAAATAAACCAACTCAACGCAGTGGAAACAGCTTTCACGAAGGAAGGCAAGCAAAGTGACAAAATAATAACGTGGGAGTCACAAATCAGTCCTACTACACTGGGTGGGTGGGGGGGGGGGTTGTGTCTACTCTCTAAATAAGCATAAATAGGCGTTGACGTACTTGCTAAAGAGGAACTTTACTTTGTAAGTAAAGCAATTAGGCGATAAGCAACGCACTCGAGTGGTGTTTGCGCACTTCGAATGTGCGTGATCACGTGAAGAGAAACCATTAAAAATGGAGGAGATATTCAAGAAGTAATGAGCAGGAGAGAGAGAAGTCTATTAAAAGTTACAAGTAGGAAAAAATATGTAAATATAAACTACCGCTTTAAGAGTTGATTATCATTGGAGTAGAGATGAAGATTTTAGTCTAACAAAACAGGCGTGTATTAATAGGTACATATATATCTGCAGGCCCATTAAATTATCGATTGATTGGAATAAAAATTGAATATTTGTGTTGCTTCAAGAAAAGTTAATTTGAAAAAAACAAGTGAAAGGAATTCGTCTCCCCGATACCATTATTGTTACAAATGAAAAAGTAATAGACAGCAGTAAGAAAAGAAGTTGGAATTTTCAGGGATCCCACCTAATCTGAACTTTAAATCGATCCTTGCTGATTTCATGGCATTGATAGTAGGAGATTTAATGGAATGGTTGGCCACACAGTCCTGAGCTGGTATATGAGACTATTAAAGCTACTTTGCCATGCTAGTACCTCGAAGTGAAATCCTGTACCGTTGAACTCCATTCCTCCTATTGGTTTGTAGACAGCTAGAGTATTTACTCAATAATAAAGAGAAGCCTTCAGAGAGCTAGAAGACACCAACCTTCTCCTTTGAGTAAATAAAATCATAACAATATCCCAGAGAGCGTAGAGCATAGTAACTGCTGCTCACCACTTTCTCAGTGATGAAATTGCTTTAATTTATCAATCCTATCAACTAGTCAGGTGATACGCACGCACACACACGCGCGCACTCCTTCTTTCGAAATATTCAACTGAGAAGATTACAAAAGTAAAGAAAGACTCGTTTAAAAAAGTCTACAGATGTCTCCTATACTAAACTCAAACCGAAGAGACGATGTTTTAAGAATTGAAACCTCAATTTTGATATTACCTCCTTAGAACAATGGCACTATTGAACGCATGTATCATCTTTCAAGCGTAACTCCTAAAAAAACCCAACAATAACATTCTGTATGCATTTCAAGAGACACACCTGACTAAAGAAAATTTATGTAGGCGCGAATTCGCACAAACTTTTTGTCAGGTGAAAAAGTTTCATGAAAAAAATTCAGTTTTATAAAACTGTAATCTTGTGGTTATTTAATTTACCTATAGGCGACAAAAAGGGAGTAATTTCAGGTCCACTAAAGGGAATTAGTTCCTGAAGTAGATTTAGAATAAAAGAGACGGAACTGAAGATTGAGCAATCTTTTGTTTAGTTTCGTTGGTTCTTTTGAACATTAAAAAGACAGTCAGCACAGGGAAGTCGAAAGTTGGCAAAAAATTAGAGAAAAAGCGTTCCAGTTTAGAAAAATCGGGCGTACTGTGATGACATAGCAACGTACTCAATCACAGGCAAATCAGTTAATCAATATCGTCTGGGTTTCTAATTGGGCCCGAAGACGTCATTGTTACAAAACCTCAACACCTCCTCCCATCCAGCCACAATATCTTCCCAAAGAGATAGGCTTCTCTCACTCCTTGAACTATCTCTATGCTCCAAAAAAAGCTGTCCAGCCAACGCTCCCCTCATTTCTCCATCATATGGAAAGATGAGACTCGTAAGATGTTAGAAGAGTGATTATGGATACGACAGACTCAATAGGCCCGTAGATAATAAACCATCACCCCTCTTTAGGGATTCCAACCAAAATATCTCTAGACAATAGAAACAGGAGTACAGAGATGTGGGATGTAATCAATACTGCACTAAAACAACCCCCCCCCCCTTTACCTCAAAGAAAAAAGACATTGACTTAACGGGTGATATATGACACACACACACACACACACACGAGCACAATTCGACTCTTCCGCCCTTTAATTCAGTCATACGATGCATATGGGTGCTGACTGCATACTAGGACTAAAGCTATAGTGCAATAAAAATGCAAGCATAATAGAATGAGTGGGATCGCAAAGCACCAAAATGCTGAGTTTATAAGTACAATACAAGAGTACAAAGAGAATCAATGAAATCAGCCGGGGGAAAAAGCAGAATATTTGAGGCAAAATCACAAATAACTAAGGCTTTAATCCGTATATTAGCGAGAAAATAACCACCCCACACTCATATCTAATACCTTCCCACTAAAATGTGGTCGTATTAAGACCAATGCAAACGCAAAAAGGTACACAATGACTCATACATACCTCCTCCATATAGAATATATATATATATATATATATATATATATAATGGTAGAGTTTTATGGGTCATTAGGCAGAAGAGAGGGCGTTGGAGACTATTCTAATGTGCGTAATACACACAGAATGTTCCAAAGAGGTCCTCCTCAAGCCATAGCATACCTAGAAAGGGTAAGGATGTAAGAAAGTCTATAAGATGCGTGAAAGAAGGGAATACAGAAGAAGGACAAAGTTTAAAAAAGGACGAAATCGAATGACTTCAACATGAGTGTGTAGCTTGGTCTAGTCAATGGCAACACACCTAGGCTTTCATTTTAGCTTTTTCGTTTGCCCAGCCTGAGTACAGTCGCATGCCTCCCTTTATCCAATGAGGATACGAGAGTGCTTTGAGCTCCCTTGGGACTAATAGTCGCTTAACGAAAAGTATTCGTGCTATTCCAATCTGCACCTCCTCTTGCTGTTATCTCCACTTCAAATTTTTGCTCTTCAGACATGGGAGAGGAGACTGTACATTTATAGCCTGCAAGGAGACTATTAGTTTTGAAGGATCTAAGAAGAATAATTTCAAAGTTTCGAGCCGGTGGAGGAGGGGCGGGATGGAAGGGGAGATCAAAAGGGATTCTGATTAACAATTAATGAGAAGAGACGTGATAACAAAACTATGCACCTCAGTGCCGTAGCAAATACTGTTGATATTTGGATGATTGAGTACAAACATATGTGGCCAATACCACTGGAACAACAGAATGAAAATAAAAAAAGGAGACGATGATAATCTCAGTTTAAGCTATGTGACACCATCTAAGAGAAGTCAGGAACGAAATCGAATTCCATTTCTTTGAGTAATCAACTTCAACCATTGTGAAAACGAGTCATAACTCAAAAGTATACAGTCTAGATTCTGAAATCGAAACTTCGGAACATTAATTCATAATGCAGCCAACATCTTCATGGACCAGGGATTTCACATTAAAATTTTATTCTCCAATTCTCTCTGACGAAAAGTCAGTCTACAGTTGGCTTGCTTTGATGCTTCTTTTAATTTTTGCCACAGATAATCGTTACATACACTTTTCGCCGTACTTGAAGGCAGACAGTTTTAAAGGGAGGATTTCGCTAATGTCCTCCACTCCACTTATTTTTATTTTTCTGGCTTGCACAGGGTTCTAAGAGATATGCAATCTAGCGAGGCTAGTTTTATGGAGATTAGGATAGGAGGGAGGGAGGGGGGGGAGGGCG